TTGGTGGTGCTGGAGAATAGAAATGTATTTGACTTTTGTATTAAGCTTATATCCATCTACTTTGCTAAATGCTGCTATTATTTCAACATTTTTTTTTCTGTGTATTTTTCTGGGATTCATAGATAAATGTCAATATCTACAACTACTGACAGTTTTATGTTACCCTGTCTAATTCGTGGGACAATTTTTTTTTTCTTGCTTAATTGTAGTAGCTAGAACAGTCAACTTATTGTTGATCAGAAGTTGTGGTAAATGTGCCTCCTTGCCTTGTTCTTGATTTTAAAGCAGATGCTTTAGAATAACGTATGTTTTTTTATAAACACTTTTTATCAGGTCAGGTGTTCCTTTCTATTCCTAATTTACTAAGAGCTTGTTGCCATGAATGGGTTTTGCATTGTATCAAGTCTCTTTATCTATTGAGATGATTATATAATATTGTCTTTTAATCTGTTACCATGGAAAATTACACTAATGGATTTTATAATGTAAATTATTTCTGTCCACCTGTAATAAAACCAGTTTGGTAATAGTGTATTGCTTCTCAATGCCCGATTGGATTTCTTTTTCTTTTCTTTTTGTTTTGTTTTGTGTTTCAGAAATTCTGGTTCTGTATTTATGAGTGAAATAGGCCCATAATGATTTGCTGTTTATGTATCTGCATTATGTTGGGCTTATAGTTTGAATTGAGGGATTACTTGTCAATTCAAATCCAATTCTGCCTAGGAATATAGGTACAGAAATTAGTCTAGGAACATAGGTCCAGAAATTTATTGAAGGTTTGGTAAAACTTGTCCTTTAAAACCAATGGGGTTGGCTTTAAGTTTAAAGAAAGATTTTTTTAAATGTTTTTTCAATAGTTATTTCTATGTTTGAGAGAGAAAGAGACAGAGGATGAGTGGGGAAGTGGCAGAAAGATGGAAACAGCATCTGAAGCAGGCTCCAGGCTCAAAGCTGTCAGCACAGAACCCGATGAGGGGCTCGAACTCATGGACCACGAGATCATGACCTGAGCCAAAGTTGGCCTCTTCACCGACTGAGCCACCCAGGCGCTCCAAGAAAGCTTTTTGACCACTGTTTTGGTTTCATTATTATACAGCTAGTTAAGATTTTAATTTCTTCTTGATGAATAACGTCCCCTTCCCTGCCGGAATAGCCGAGTTGACCACACTATTCTTTCATTTTTTTATTCTTTGCATTATATGTGATTACAACCCCTTCTCATTCATTACATTGCTTCTACTTCTTTCAAGCAATTGATAGGGGTTAATTTCTTTTCTATAATTGTGAAAAGAACCAACTTTTTAAAAAATATAAATTTCTTTTTTGTAATGTTTATTTATTTATTTATTTTGAGAGAGAGAGAAAGAAAGAAAACACTAGCGTGTGGGCAGGTGAGGAGCAGAGAGAGAGAGGGAGAGAGAATCCCAAGGAGCTCCATGTTATTAGTGCGGAGCCCAGTTTGGGGCTGGATCTCACGAACTGTAGTCAAGAGTTAGATGCTTAACCGACTGAGCCCCCCAGGCGCCTCTCAAAATATAAATTTCTGTTTTTCATATTCATTATCTCTTTCCTTATATTCTGTGGTTTAGGGTAGTCCACGTAACTTCTCAGTGTGAATGCTTAGTTTGTTAATTTTGAGGCTTTTGAAATTTCTCATGCAAGTATTTAAGGCTCTAGATTGCTTCAAACAACTACATAGTTGCATCCCACATATTTTATTAAAAAAATTGTTTTTAATGTTTATTTATTTTTGAGACACAGAGAGACAGAGCATGAACGGGGGAGGGTCAGAGAGAGAAGGAGACACATCTGAAGCAGGCTACAGGCTCTGAGCTGTCAGCACAGAGCCCGACGCGGGGCTCGAACCCACGGACCGTGAGATCATGACCTGAGCGAAGTCGGAGGCTCAACTGACTGAGCCACCCAGGCGCCCCAACATCTCACATATTTTAATATGTTTGCTGTTAAACATGTCCATTTTATTTAAGTGGACCATTAGTATTTAAAATGTCCATTAGTATTTCTTTTTTTTTTTTTAACCTATGAATCGTTTAGCAGGATGTTCTTTTAAGTTTCTGCTGGAAACACCAGGAGTGCTTCTGTTTGCTTTCTGTGATGAACCTTGCAGAGACACGCTCTAAACTCCATGTCTTGATCAGTAGAAGTCGGATCTTAATATTGCACACCTTGTAGGTTTGTTTTGGGGATTCACTGTGTGAAGGCATGGAAATGAAACAGTGCCTGGCACATAATCATCTATCCAACATATTAATTAGGATGATCGTTTCACCATGTATTTGTGAATCACCATTTTTGTCCAAAATTGGAGAATTTAGGGCTTTGTGGAGACACTTGCAGCATGTTTCATGATCACGTGCTGGGTGAATTCTATAGGAGGAAGTATCGTTATTTATTTATTTATTTATTTAATTTATTTAACGTAATTTATCGTTATTTATTTATTTATTTAATTCTGTATGAGGAAGTATCGTTATTTGTTTATTTAGTTAGTTAATGGAAAATAAGAACTTGGAAAATTCTCTTACATGGACGCGCTATTATGTTTTTCTGTAGCTTAATATGCATCTCGTATATTAAAAAAAAAATCTTTTCCTCTCAGTAACACAAGGGGTAATCCAAATTTAATAGCTATATCCAAAAGAAAATGAAAGTCACACTACACCATGCCTTAAATGAGAAATAAACTATTTCTGAACAGTACACATTTACACATTTATCTTAATTGTGTAGCTACCATCCACAATCAGTGAGCAGAAAATCAGAGAACATAATGCTGGTAGGAATTTGACATAAATGTACTTGTGGAGGTTTAAATTGCAGAGTTTCTATAATAAAATGGAAAGGCTACCCTTTCATTTTTGCAGATAGTTAATTAGTATCCTCCCTCCAGTCTGAAAATGCTCTTGGTATAAACAAGATCATATTGTGAACCAAGTGTAAATACCTTTGCACAAAAACAATGCACTTGTTTTAATGAGCTTTGTTTTCTCTATTTGGGCACAAACGATAACTTTTAAAAAATGTAAGTTATATTTTTGTGGCGACTTAGGATTTTCAAGGCATATTTCTCTCGACAGTCTCATCTGGGCCTCACAACTTTTGGTGAGATAAATCTGGTGATACTATGATACCCATTTTACAGATGAAGAAACTGAGGCCCAGAGCAGCAAGTGAGTTACTCAGGACTGGGGAGTCTATAAGCGGCAGAACTGCGTCAAAAGCCCAGGTTTCCTGGTCTCCTACTCGGTGTCCTTTTTCCCATTCCCATTCCCAAATGAACTGTCCACTCCTTCGCCAAAGGAATTTTAATCTTAATCAAAGTATCTAATTTGCTTTAGACATGCCCAGGAATTGTGTTCTTCGAGGACAGGGGCCTTTTGGTGGACAAATATATCTATTTATCTTCAGCAAGAGCACCGCTATATCTTTATCATTTGCCAATAAATGCTTTAAACTATTGAAAATTGTAATGTCTTGTTTAGAGAGATGTTTTATTTAACTCTTAGATAATAACACTTTTATGAAGACTCTAACTCAGTGGTATTGAGTAACTTGTCACACAGTCTCTGACTATTAGAGCCACGAGTTTGATTTCAAAACCAATTCCTAGGCAGTTTGATTTCAAAATCATGCTTTAGTCACTGTATTACATGATAACAAAGGAATAAAATAAGCTGAGTGAACTCAGTAATTACAGTATTTGCATGCACTCCACAGGGGAAAATAAAATAATTTGACCTCAAAGCATTTTTTTTTAAGAATAGAACTAATTATTTCCTAAGCACTTACTTATTGCTTAATACGTTACATATATTATTTCTAATTTCCACACCACTACTATAGAAGATGTATTATTATTATTATGATTCACATTTTATAGATGGAATAAGCACTAAGGATGGGAAATATGGCATAACATGCAAAAGGGTAACTTGTAAGTTGTTCAAATGACGTCTCTTTGCTCTGAAAGCCCACATGTTTATGTTTTTTCATATGACTAAATTTATTATGAAAAGAAAAAAATAGTTACAGAATTTTTAAAAACAATGCCATTAAACTAGAAATTAGTTGTATGATCAGTCAACGTATTTACTATAGCGCTGGATGTTTTGGAGGGGGAGAAGAACAGGAATTCTTTTTTTTTTTTTTTTTTTAAATTTTTTAGTTTTTTTTAGTATTTATTTATTTATTTTTTTTTTATTTTTTATTATATGAAATTTATTGTCAAATTAGTTTCCATACAACACCCAGTGCTCATCCCAAAAGATGCCCTCTTCAATGCCCATCACCTACCCTCTCCTCCCTCCCACCCCACATCAACCCTCAGTTTGTTCTCAGTTTTTAAGAGTCTGTTATGCTTTGGCTCTCTCTCCCACTCTAACCCTTTTTTAATTTTTTTTAAGCTTATTCATTTTTGAGAGAGAGAGAGAGAGACAGAGTATGAGCAGGGGAGGGGCAGAGAGAGAGAGGGAGACACAGAATCCATAAAAACCATTTTGAGGAAGTTGTTTGAAATCTTATTGATCTTATAGATCAATTTTTGGAGAATTGGCATCTTTATGATACTGTCAGCACAGTATCTTTATGAGCTGTCAGCACAGAGCCCGACATGGGGCTCGAACTCACAAACCACGAGATCATGACCTGAGCCAAAGTTGGGTAAGAATAATGCTATGTGACTGATGAGGTGGGATCATAAAAGACCATGAACTTCCATCTGGTTCTTCTAGAACATTGTCTCTCTGGAAGGTGCCTCTTGGGTGCTCCCTTTTGGATCCTGGTCACCACGCCATGGGAAGCCCAAACCATAGGGAGATGGTTTTCATGCAAGCACTCTAGGTGACAAGACAGTCTGAGCTCAGCTAAGCCTTCTAATAATCCCAGTTCCGGGACCAGATATCAACAATTAAGGCACCATGGAGTTGGATCCTTTAGTCACAGTTATTAGAACTCTCAGCTTTTTGAGTCTTCTGTCCCCATTCAAGTCTTCCCAATGGAGACCCCAGATCCCTTGGAATATAAGTCATTCCCACTGTGCTGTTTGAATGACCCACCCACAGAATCGGTGAGCATAATGAAATTGTTATTTTCTTCCATTACAGTTGGAGAGGGTTTTGAATGCAGAAGTAGCAAAGGAGACACGATTTGATATCAGAAACATCATGCTGCCGTAAGAAAAACCAAAGACACGTGGCTTCGAGATTCATGGTAGCGGAACCTGGAAGGTCTTGAGTTTGGTAGTGGATGACTGACAGGCCTCAAGAAGGCCATTGGTGAGGGCTTAATGAAGACCGAGCAAAATGTTATTGGAACCTGGGGGCAAGGAGACCCTTGTTACATAGCAACTTAAAAACCTCAAATATTGTCACCTATAGGAATGTAAAAAGTAGATAATATTGTTATTGAACTGCTGGATTTGCTAAGTATAGTCCCAGAAGAATGCCAAATGGCTTAGCTGGTTTCCTTTATCTGAGTGTTATAAGATAGGATATACAGAAATGAGCTAAAAAAGAAAAAAAATAATAATGATGATGAATTATTCAATTTTCAAACAGTATCTAGAAAAACTACCAAAGATCTAAAAATTCCAGAGTATCTACCAGATATGCTGTAAGAAATAGGGGCTGCTGTAGACGTAATTGATATCTCCCATAAGTTTTGCACAAACACCACCACCTTTAGAAAACAGTGTGTGTAGATATTGTGTAAGTTGTATTTGTATTGGAGAGAGATATGTATACCTCCACAGTGTATATACATCTAAAAAAAAAAAAGTCTACTAGGATCACCATAAAAGCTATCACAGACTGGTGGCTTAAACAATAGGAATTCATTTTTTTTTTGCAATTCTGGAAGCTCGAAGTTCAAGATCAAAGGGTCGGCTAAGCTGGTTTCTTCTCTTTTTCTCTCCTAGGCTTGCAGATAGCTCTTTCCTTGCTGTGTCTTCATATGGTGCCTGGTCTTTCCTCTGTGTGTGTGTCCTAATCTGCTCTTCTTCTTACAAGAATACTAGTCATATTGGGTTAGGGTGTACCCTAGGGACCTTATTTAACCTTAATTACCTCTTTAAAAATCTTATGTCCAAAAACAGTTACATTCTGAGTACTTGGGATTAGGACTCCAATGTATGAATTTTGAGGGGAAACAATTGAGCACATAACTGAGTGTCTCTCTCTCTCTTTCTCCCTCTCCATATATTTTATATTCTATATATAATCTTATATATATATATATAATCATATATAATCTATATGTATATCATATATATAATCCTATAACACAATAATCATATAAAATGTATATTCATATATATAATAATGATTATATATTCATATATATAATATGATTGTATATAATATTATATAATCTCCAACCGGGAGAGGACTAAGCAATTTAACAGGCTGACATGAGCTCCATAGACATGTTTTCCAAAATCTCTTCTTGCATTTTCTGAGACACTTGGTTTTCATTCTGAAAGAGTGATTTGAAGACTTTGCTGAGAGTATCATTCCTAAAAGAACAGTATCTATTTAATGATACTTCTTCAAAGTTCTACCCTTGAAGAAAGAAATGGGGAGTGGAAGGGAAATGTAGCATTCTTTCTATCTGTCATAGCTGGATATTGGACACCAAGATGCCATCTTCCCAAGCAGGTTTTGTAAAAGTTCTGCTGCGTTTTGATCCCAGGGGCATGAGATCTAGTCAACAGAGATCCTAGTTTATATATCTCAACATCCTGAAATGCATTAAGTTCGGGGTATCTTTGGCGAAAAGAATCCAGAGTCTTCATGGAAAATATTTGTGTTGTTTTCTATTTAATTCTGAGAGAAGAAGCAGAGAAAATTCACAGAAAAAACCTGAAAAAGATTAAAAAATATTCCTTAGAAGTGCTTATTTTTCTACTTTATGCCTAACCAAAGAGAAAGGGAAATTTGGTGTTTTCTCTACAGGAGGAAAATGTCTATACGCTGTAAATATGAACTGTTTAGATGATAATGCAGTGTGCCAGCTATCAAAGCTCTTTTTATATTAGCTGAGCATGTTACAGAATCTCTTGAAGAAGTAGAATTATCTTGTGGAGCAAACCAAGATTTTGTCAATCTGAAGAATATGTCATACTCTTGCATGGAACACATTAAGGACAATGAACCACATCAGTGGCAAAGGTTAAAATAATCAAATCCATGTCCAAGTCCAAGGGCAAATCCAAGCCCACAAGGGCAAACATTCTCTCTGGATCTCTGGACATTTTCTCTCAGGCTATGGGCTGGGTCTCCATGGCCCGCTGGAAATGAATTCTATTTTATCTATTAATGTGGAGGGACAAGCAAGCTTAGAGGGTTCTTGGCGACATTGGCATATCTGGTTCTCTTGTCGAGAACCACGGGCAGGTTATCTTGGGGTTTCACTTGCAGTAGTTTCGGAAACTGCTTGTAGGTTCTAGTCTTCTTTCCTCTACTTCCAAAGGCAGAAACATAAGCAAAGTAATAGACCTAACTCATGTCAGTTTGCTCTCTCACCTGTCTCTGTGAGCACTTTGCACACGAGGTGGCCTGCATGGTTTGTAAAGCTGGCTTAGTTTTTCTCTAGATGCTCTATACTTCCTTGAAGAGACCTTTTCTGCTCATCTACCGTTAACCTGAAAGTTCATCTGGCCCCTTCTTCTCTGTGTAAGCATTTTCTCTTCCCTCGCCTTATTATAATATGCAGTTACTTTTTTTTTCCCCCCCAGTCTGTGATTTTACCTATTTATCCAACTGCACTAGAAGCTCCATGAATGTTTAGGACCATGGCTTTTTTGTTGAGCTTTATAGTCCCAGAGAAATATTAAATGTTCAATAGATATGTGCTGAAGAATGAAGGATTATGAGAAAACTGTTGCCATGTAGGTTTCTTTTGTGGTTGTATTATTCTCATGAACCACATTTAGTCCTTACCAAAGATTCTTGGAATGCAGAAGTCATCAGATTCACCTCTCGATGTCAGGGGGACCTTACTAGATAAATCTCAAGTTCTCTAATCAAAAACAACTTTGCCTTCTCTTCTGTTAACATGATTTTACTTTTGCAGTTTTCTTAGACACTAGCAAGTTAATTTAGGTAGATTTTCTAAGGTTTGTCTTATTACAGTTAAGGGGGAACCTTTAGGGGGCTGTTTGATTATAAATAAAGCATAAAGTAAATGAGATGCATATTTCTTGACTATGTTGAAGAAAGTATATGGATTTGGGGCTTACACAGTACTTTTTCTAAAAACAAATGTTGTAAAACAAAACAAAACAAAACTTTGAGCTAATGTAGACAACTGCATTAAAGAACTCCAAAAGGAACTTTTAAGAAGGAGCAGGGTTTAAGCTTGGTAAATTAGATGTCTCAGCTTATTTGAATCATAAATTTAGGTTATTGGCTTCATTTTCATGAATTTATTTGGTGGGTTTGTTCTGAATTGCATGCATAAATTGTGATTACAAAATTCTGAAACTTGGCTTCCACTAATCATAGAAACTATTGATTATGGTAACACAAAGAGGTTTACAGTCGAATTCACAATTAATTCAGGAAGAAATTGTCCATTTGCATTGCAAACATAAGCAAGAAAGTTTTGGTGATACTGAGGAGTCTATTCCACATCATTCGCAAATATCAATTTAATGTGACTCACAGACCAATCACTGAAAAGTCAAATAATAATGCTATTGGAAGAAGACACATCTTCCTAATCCTGGGATTAGTGAAAATTACTAAAAACAAAAGAGCATTAATAATGAAAGTTTAAAGATGATAAGGTGGTCTTCTGTTTATCAAAATATATCATTAAGGAAGGTAAAAGACAAGTTTCAGATTGGGAGGGAATATTTTAAAAATATTTATCTGACAAAGGACTGATATCTGGAATACATAAAGATATCCTACTAATTAAATAAGAAAAATACAGAGAATTCAACATGAAAGGTGGCAAAGATCTTGAAGAGGTACCTATAATCATATGTAAAAGTGTTCAATATTATTGCCCATCAGGGAAATGGAAGTGAAAACCATGACTGGGAACCACTGCACAACCAACAGGATGGTAAAATTAAGAAGACTGTCAATTACAGGGGTGCCTGGGTGGCTCAGTCGGTTAAGCGTCCGACTTCAACTCAGGTCATGATCTCGCGGTCCGTGAGTTTGAGCCCCGCGTCAGGCTCTGGGCTGATGGCTCAGAGCCTGGAGCCTGCTTCAGATTCTGTGTCTCCCTCTCTCTCTGCCCCTCCCCTGTTCACGCTCTGTCTCTCTCTGTCTCAAAAATAAATAAACGTTAAAAAAATGAAAAAAAAAAAGACTGTCAATTACAAATGTTGTCAAGAATGCAGAGAAATGGAAATTCCCATATAATGTTGATTGGATGGTTAATTATTTTAACTTTTGGAAAACGTTTTGGTGGTATCCACTAAAACTAGAGACAATACCAGTCCCATGATTCATCACTTCTATTCCTAGGTATGCACAAGCAAAATGAGTACACGTGTCCGTGAAAGACATGTACAGGAATATTCATGGCAACTCAATTATTACAGAGTAAATAGACACATTTCATTATATTCATATTAAGAAGACTCCACAATACTAAAAAGTAACAAACTTGGTAAGTGCAACCGTATGGATAAACCCCAGAAAGAGAATTTGAATGAAAGAAAACAGACATAAAAAGGTTCATAATGTATAATTCTGTTTCTATGGGGTTCAAGATCAGGGAATTCTAATCAAAGTCACAATATCGCCTTCCTTGCTGGGAGAGGCAGGTATTAAGCTGAAGGAGACTCAACAGAATCTTTTGGAGCAATAGCAATGTTTTAACATTGATCTGGGGGGTGATTACATGAGTGTATCCAAATATAAACAATATTATGCTGTATGCTTAAGCTTAGTGAATTTTACCATATGTAAATTATAATTCAATACAATGTGTTAACTATACGTTTTTATTATCTATATTCTTGATGATCTGGCATCTGAGCCCTCACTGACTTGGAGAGGCTGCCTCAATTCTTGGGGATGGCAAATGAATGCCCCAGCATTACTTTCATACGCAGACCAACCCAGAGTCTATATTCTGAACGACCTCTTCCAGATGGCTTTTGCGCTTCAGGAGGCAATATTTCTCTGCCCTCATTATCCCAAGGCCAGGCAGCAGACAACTAGAGATAGCTGCTGTGCACCAGAAGAGCTATACCCAGAAATGATTCAAACGAACTGATCCCACGCCTGCTTCCCTGCTGTGTGAAAACTTTCCCATGGGACCGCAATAAGGGCTTCCACAGATACTTTCCCTTCATTCCTTCTGTCTCCTGTGCTTCTTCATGTGGCCCTGTGTGGCATGGCCTGCTCCCTTCTTTGGGGCACTGTGACTAACAAACTGTGTTTTCAATGGTAAGCTTCTCTTGATATGTTGGCCTCACCGTGCCTGAAAATAATAAAACCCACATGTTAAAACGCGACAAAGCAAGTAGACTTTTAACGCCGAGATGCTTTTATGGACCATTCTTTTGAACAGCTGCAAGTAAGACACAGTTAATTCCATAGTTTGGATCGGGTAGGAAGACTTAAATGAATAATCGATCAATTCGTTAGTCGTGAATAAGAACTCTTAGACTCAGAACATGCGACTACCAGGAGAGTAATAGTGGATGGTGAGATCAAATGACACAAAAATGAGCAGAAAAAAATTTAAAATGCCTCTGTAAATGTATTATTTACTTATTTTACAATTTTTATTTATTTTGAGGCGGGGGGGCAGGGTCAGAGAGAGGGAGACAGAATCTTAAACAGGCTCTGTGCTGTCAGCGCAGAGTCTGATATGGGGCTAGAACCCATGAACCATGAGATCATGACGTGAGTAGAAATCAACAGTCAGAGGCTTAACCTACTGAGACACCCAGGTTCCCCTCCTTATTTATATTTTAAGTAGGCTCCATATTGGGTATGGAGCCCAACATGGGGCTTGAACTCACAACCCTGAGATCGATAACTGAGCTGAGATCAAGAGCTGGATGCTTGGCCAACTGAGCCCCCTGGGTGCCTCTCAGTGTATCATTTGTAATGCTGTATATTTGACACAACATCTCCAGGTAATCATAGATATAGAATCACACCGCATCATCAGAACTAGTTATATACTGCAACCAACGGAAGAGGCAATTCAAGTAGAAAGAAAGAAAGAAAGAAAGAAGGAAAGAAAGAAAGGAAGAAGGAAAGAGAGAGAGAGAAAGAAAGAAAGAAAGAAAGATGAAGGAAGGAAGGAAGATGAAGGAAGGAAGGAAGAGAAAGGCAAGGCAAGGCAGAAAAGGAAAGAACAGAGGAAGGAAGGAAATTTTCTTGCTGACACAACGGAGCCAACATAAGGGATTCAAAGTCCTGAAATAACATGGGCAGCATTGCTGGATACTAGAATATCAATTAAATCATTTACCAAGAGAAGAAGGAAGAGGCTTGAGAGGGTGGGAGTAAGGGTTGAGGAACTCATTTGAAATAACATAATGTACATTACAAAGTTGTGCCTGGGATATCTCTTTCTCTTTTTTTTCTATCTCTTCAGATGTTATTACTTCTTATTGAAGAATCTGGAATGTGAATCAGAAAATCTCACAATAGTCTTTTAAAGGTATTTAATGATTCATGATTAATGATTATGTTAGTATATATAGTATTATTACACATACTATTAGTATATGTAGTATTATCATAGTAAATACATATATCAACAAACTCCCTTTGGACCGTAGATAAAATTGTGGTCTTATTTGTTTTTGACGAGCTATCTTAAAACGATTGAGGGTTCTGTAAGTTTCCCATACATATTTCTCCAGGCATGTGTCCTTCTGTATTCTTTCCATGATTACTGGGGTTTATCCATTTAAAGATCAGGAGACACTGCAGCTGACAGTTGGATATAGATGCAGATTGACTATCAATTCCGCAAAAGACCACTGGCAAACCTTGTTCTTCAAACAAAGCTAAGCCAATTAAACCTACTGTGAGATAGAGCATGACTTCAGTAGTCTTGGTAGCGTCTCGGGAAGAGGCCAGGCATAGACTTTGGTAGGAGTTTGGTAGGAGTACTTCAAGGCAGGTCTTTCAACGCACATATCTTACTGGGATTGGGTCAAGTTCTTGATATAGTATGTTCGCTTTGGTGGGCACAGCGAAGCAAGCATCTTGCAGGGAGTTTTGATAAATAAACAGATGTTTGATAAGTGAGCTGTTTGGCTAAACGAGCAACCCATTGTTCCCACAGCAGGGCTGCTTGTTCAGATGAGCAAACTATTCATTCAAATGTTTTGGCTTTTAGAAAAGTCCTGGCACCAATGGTAACATTATTTATTGGTTTACAGTCTTATCTTCCTGGCCAGGAATCTCCTGGAACAAAGAGGAATGCCATGTTGACACAAGTGGCTTCAGATCTCCATCCCAACAGTTAAAGCTGTGTGGATGAAGGTGGTCTCAGCTCCCAAAATTGAGTGTAGGGGACGAACAATGCCATTTTGTTTTAAGGAGCCTGAAAATATTGGGATGGTATGTGGTTTTAAGAGGGAACGACCAGAAATGAAATCCATTTTGAAGATGTTTCAGGTATATGTGAAGATTTAAAACTAATCTAGAACTTCTTCCATTATGAGATGTGGTTTTAATCCAAGTGTATATATTGTAACTGTGCTTTATTTTATGAAATCCAGGACCTCCATTGTCTCAGGATATTAGGAATGAAAGCCTTCCGGATCCCCATTTATTTTTTATTTTTAGCTTTTCTTTTTCAGAGAACAAGGGAGTGAGTGATTGGGGAGGAGCAGAGAGAGGGAGACAGAGGATCTCAAGCAGGTTCTACACCCAGCACAGAGCCCTACTCAGGACTGGATCTCACGACTGTGAGATCATGACCTAAGCCCAAATCAAGATCTGACCGCTTAACTGACTGAGCCACCCCGGTGCCCCTCCACCATTTCAATGTATGACCCTGTGGGGAGTCATTGTCACTTGTATTCTGGCTTCTTAGGTCAATCATTTACATGGCTCTGTTTTTTTTGTTTGTTTGCTTGCTGTTTATTTGCTCTGGCTCTATCCTCACTCCACATGTATAATAGTTGATAAGCATGGCCCATCCTGCCTTTAAAACAATAGGCTTTATGATCCTAAGATGTCATCATGGGCTGACCGGGCCCTCAATAGTCGTTCCTCCTTCCAGCATTCATAGCAGTTCAGTGACCATTGGCCTTCATTCCTGTGTTAACTACTAGACATAAGAGAAAATTCTGGAGATTGGACAGAAGAGAATAAGTGGTCTCTACCTTCCATAACAACGTGTTCATAACATATGTCCCTCGGTATAAAAGAATCGAGCTGAGTTGTGTGTCAGGAATAAAGGGTATTTTCGAGTCACCGAAGGGTGACTGTTGCAGATAGGGACAGACGCCTTCCATTCATGAAGGTTTAAAACATTTAAAGGTGATGGGTGGGTAAACCTGGAGGATGCATGAAAGGAAATACTGGGCCAATCTTGGCCATCCCTAGATTCTCTGGGTTGTCTTGGCGATTTCCCACCCTAATACATGATACTTGCAGTAAAGGAAATTTTCAACTTTTAATGTCTGTGGGCTCTTCTCCTGGGCTCCCAGGGAAGCTATACTCTTATCAAGATCAGAATGACTTCACCAAACTTCAAAGCATGGGCTCTATTTCTTCACCGAGCACCCACTATACATCTGCCTTGTTAGCAAATAACCTAAAAGAAACATTTCAAATAAAGAGAATGTTCTGAGGCCTGCAACCTTACAGATGCTAAAAGCAGCAGATAAAGTTTGTAATTGTATGAAATGTCCTTGGCCAGATGATTTCGAATGCCTGATGTAACAAAAAAAACATGCATAATCCTGTATTAAGCATTCCTTCTCTGGAGCACTCTTTGTGAAGATTGTATTTGGGAAGCTGTCCCCACTTAAATAAAACTCTCCCTCTATCTTTCTTTTTTTCTTTCTCTTTATTTCTCTCTCTCTTTTAGAAATTTTAAAATGTTTGCTCGCTTTGTGTTGACACTTAGGTGACATCACTTATATTGCTGGCTAGGACCTAACTTTTCTTGGGTTGGGCTGGTTAGAGACTCACTACAGGAAGTTAGGAATTATTCAAGTGAATGTTTTGAATGATGTGTTTTGAATGAGGTGTGACCAAAGGAATAATCATGATATTTTCCAGCTAGACAGTGAACCCCTCGTCTAGGAAGTCTGCTCACAGAAGAAAGTGTGCAGAAAGAGTTACAACTTGTATTGACAGCTCTTTCTAGATTGATGACAAGAAGTATTCCATGCCTTGGGGAAGAAACTGGAATTTCAAGCTGTACTTTGGAAGACATCTTCTTCAGCTGGGTCCAAGTTTCATTCCACTCTGATCTGCTCCCTCACTCAAAGGTATTATGGCTAGTTTCAACTTTGATCTTTCCTGCTTGAAATAGAACATGTTACTTTTCTTATGTCCTTTACAGGAATATTCCACAATGTATCTGACTTCTATCATGGTTTTATGTTGCCTCTCCCCATCTTATACAATATTAATTTCCCTCAAGCCTGCAGAGTTGATGCATTCATACAATTTTTAGTATGTGCTAACTATATAACAGTTCTGCGACAGTTACTAGGGAAACAAAAAGGAAGATATCATGCCTGTCCTCAAATAGCCTATTTGATAAATCTACATTTCACCTCTCACGTCCTTTATATCTTGTCATAGGCTATACGCATTCCGCAAATATATCTGGTCTTGAGAACTAGATGGGTGTTTATTGTTTAAGAATGAAGACTTTAAAGTTATTGAACCTGAGTTGAGATCAGTTCCCCCAAGTGAGTTTAGGGACTACTCAAAGTTTGGCATCCATCTTAAACGTTTTTACAAATGTAAGTGAAGTAAAGCATATGAAGTTTTTAGCATAGAGGAGGTTCTCCACCAATGTGAAGTTTTATTAGTCATTCAAGGATTTGTAAACTTATGCAAATATTCTCTCCTTTATATAATTTTTTAAAAAATGTTTATTTACTTTTGAGAGAGAGAGAGAACTTGTGTGTGAGCCAGGGAGGGGCACAGAGTGAGGGAGAGAGATCATCCAAAGCAGGCTCTGCAAAGTCAGCGCAAAGCCCAACTCGGGACTTGAACTCACGAACCATGAGATCATGACCTGGGCTGAAGTCAGATGCTCAACTGACTGAATTACCCAGGCACCCCTACTTCTGCAAATATTCTTAGCTTTGCAGCCATATAGTCTCATGACAACTATTCAACTTTGACGTTGTAGAACAAAAGCAGCCATAAACAATATGTTAACAAATGGAACAAAAGCAGCCATAACCAATATGTTAACAAATGGATGTGGCTGTGGTCCAATAAAACTTTATATACAAGTATACAAGTGCAGGTGGCAAGCTGGATTTGGGGCATGAGCCAAGGTTTTCTGATCTAGTCCAACATTCCAAATTTATAGAAAAGAAAATTAAAACTCTGGCAGAAAAAAGAAGTATTCTGCATGCCATACACATGTCTTTCTTGTTAAAAGCATTACATTTCCTCCATCTTCCCTGTCAGTTGGGATGCTGAAGGTAAGTTCATATAAATCAAGCTGGAGTTCCTGCCAGTTCCCTTGATATGATTCCTAATTCTTCATTTTACCGTAAAAATTGGGTCTAAAGTCAGAGGTAATAACAATAACACCATTATTTGCCTCTCAGATGAAATGGAATTTAATTTCAAAACTTAAAAGACTAAGACAACTAGATTGTGCCAACCAGAAAGGAATGAAATTCAGTTTTCATTGACTACTGTCTTCAATGTAGAAGAGTGCATGATCTTCCAAGTTTTTCTTTTCAGGTTAAATATTGCTTTGATTCATTTTATGTTCTTTTTCAAATAGTCCAGGTTTTCTTCTCCTGATGTAAACGTAGTTTTGTATCCTTTCTGCTTTGGCTGCAAACAATTGTGTTATAACTAATAAAAGGGTCCTTATGGGAATTCTAAAAAATAAACAAGTAGTGAATAACTTCACGTTTAGTGGGAAGGTCTCCGCGCTATCTGTCGTTTTCATATCCAACCTCGTACCCAAGACTGAATGGTCACAGCTGTATTGGCAATAGCATTTTGCTGTTGCTGAAAATTCCTGAAGTATACAAGTAGTTTGCAGTCAAAATTTAAAAACTGACATACTTTGATATTTCTAGGTTTTTTTAAAGGGAATCATTCTAGCATGGCAATTTGTTTCTCAATTACTTGGATATGAAAGGAATGGTCTCAATATTGACATGCTTTGTCTAGATGATTTTTTTCCTGAGGATATAAAGCGATCTCAAGTTCTATTAAGTGAAAAAGCAAAATATAGAACAATGTGTATGTAATGCTTGCTTTTGTAAAAGAGAGAGAGAGACAGAGACATAGACAGAGACAGAGAGTCCAGAAGGACTGAGACATTTTTATGAGTGGTTGCTTCTGAGAAGACAAGCAAAGGAACAGGATATGAGAAAAGCTTTCATTTGATTATTCTTTTGTGGTTTTTAAATTTCATGTTGGATGTGTAGCCGATGTATTCAAAAATTATTTTAAAATCATACATACAATCCTATGCTTCGTACAATCCTACTGATCACAGTCTTTGGGGGCTGGACCCAGATATTTGAAATAGAGACTACCCCAATGATTTTGATGACCAGTCATGTTTGGAAACACTCATCTGTTCCATTCACTGGATTCTTGTTTTCTTGTGTCAAGGTGTACATGTGAGAATGTAACTTTTTCCTTCTAACTGGAGAAACACATGAAGGATATCTTATAGTATTTCATTTTGACTATGGTTCCCAGCCCCTCTGGGAATCCAGTAAATATTTGTTGATGGCATAGTGCAGAAGAATATTTCCCATCCTCGACTACATTGTATTCCAGTATGGAGTAATTTGTAGAAATACATCAAATATGATAATATTATGAGAATTAAAAATGACCAAATACGAAGGACCAAACATCAAAAAATTCCAATAATAAGGAACTTTTACCAAAGTCTATGGGTATGGCCAGTCTATAAAGGGCGAGTGGTGAAGTTCAAAGCTAAGATTATAGAATTTAGGGATGAGTCAGACTCCATATTCTACATGAATGAGTAGAAGCAGCACTTAAAGAAATAGGTGTGCAGATAACAGATTCCAAAGATGCTTTTTATTCCAGAGATCATATAAAGCCCTATTCTCATACAGCAAAGTACTGTATTCTTATTTAGGGTGATATATGTGGCATCCCCATAGTTCTCAACTTTCTCTTCTACTGTGAATCCTACATTAGTGTTTGTAGACACAGTTGATGGGATCATTAAGGCCATGTGGTTAACGGGGTGCCTAGGTGGCTCAGCTGGTTAAGCGTCTGACTCTTGGTTTCAGCTCAGGCCATGATTTCACAATTCATGAGCTTGAGCCCCGCATCAGAGCTATGTGCTGGCAGTTTGGAGCCTGCTTGGGATTCTCTCTCTCTCTCGCTCTCTCTCTCTCTCAAAATAAATTAATTAATTAATTTAAAAAGAGACTGTGTGGTTGTATATATCATAATATATACAGAGAAAAGTAATAGATATATAAGTAATATATATTATTTTTCTCTTATATATCTCTTTTCTCTGTATATATTATTATATATATATAATCTCATATGTATAAAAGATTAATGTATCATGATGAAAACGGATTTGTTGCAGAAAGATAAGTTTAATTTAACATTACAAAAGCAATTATTAGAAAGCAATTAGGTGAAAGGACAAAAATCTTATTCAATCAATAAGTAAATACATTTGGTAAAATTAAACATTTATTTATGTTTAAAAATTTTAGACAACTAAAGAAAGGAACTTGTTTAAACTGAGGAAGGATGTATTCAAAAAACCTGAAACATACATAATAAATAATGCTAATGTTGTGAAATTTTCCCTTTGAGGATAAATATTTAACATTGACCTAGAGATCCTGGCCATTAGAGCGAGGGAGGAAAACAAATAGAAAGTAAAATAATAAAAAAATGGAGAAACAAATTTCTCATTATTTTCAGGTTACATATTGTTAATATAGAAAATACAAAAGAATCAATAACTTCTCATAGAGCTTAGCAGTAGCCACAGGTACAAAATCAATTAGGTGCATTTTTTTTTTTTGCAATTTTTGCAATAGGTACAACAATGTATTGAATTTCAATACAACAGCAAAATGTTAGGTAGACATAAAAGTGAAAACCATTTTCTTAACAGTTGCAACAAAAATAGTTTGTATATAGGAATAAGTCCAATAATATGCAAAACCTCTACAGAGAACATAACAGAACTTTATTAAAGATCTATAGAATCACTAAATAAGTAACACACCACATTCATGCATTTGAAGACTCAATCACTTAACTAAATTCTACTCAGATTAACTGATAGGTATAATGTAATCCCAGCAAAATCAGTGTTGTCAATATTTTTGGGGGAAGGACCTTATGAGATGATAGTAAAATTTATATGAAAATGAGAAAGGCTGATTTTTTGGACCATTGTTCCAGAAGAACAAGAAGGTGAAAGAACTTTCTCCACTAAATACGAAGACTTATTTTTGCAAGATTTTTTAAAACATGATATTAGTCAAGGGATTGATAGGTCAGTGCAATATAATTGACATCTAGAATCACACCCATGCATGTATATTAACACGTAATAAAAGGTGATGGATATTTGAACGCCAAGGTTCCTAGCAGCATTGTTCCCAGTGACCAAAAGGTAGAAACAACCCAAATGCCCAGTGGCAGAAGAATGGATAAAACAAACAAACAAACACACAAAAACTGTAGTATAAAAATACAACAGCGTGTTATTCAGCCTTAACGAGGAAGAAAATTTTGATACATTCTACAGCGTGAAGGCTAAGCGAAAGAAGCCAGACACAAAAGGACAAGCATTATATGGTTCTGCTCCAATGGAATACTTAGAGGAATCACATCCATATGGACAGGAAGCAGAATGGTGATTGCCAAGGGCCGGTGGGAGGAAAATATGGGAAGTTAGGGTCCACTGGGTACTTTTTCAGTTTGGGAAGATGTAGAAGTTCTGGAGATGGACAGTGGTGATGGTTGCACAACAATGTAGATGCACTTAATGCCACTGAACTGAACCCTGCAGAATGATTAAAATGGTAATTTTTATGTTATATGTATTTTACCCCCATAAAAAGATAATTATAGCACCATAAAAAATTATGTTGCGAAAATTGGGTATCTGCACATCCCACGCATAAAACTCAGGGCCAAGGAGATTAAAGACCCATATATGAAAAACAAAACAATGAAGTATCAGGAATGTAATATAAGACTTTCACGGAGGAGAAATACAACCAGACATTAAATTAAATTACAATTACTTGAA